CGCGCGGGGCTTGCAGGCACCGCGGGGCTGGGGTGAGCTTTCGCTGTTGGGGGAACGCGCGGCCGCTGAAGGTGCAGGTGGCTGGACCGCGATCGGGCGGTGCCTCCTGCTCCACCTCCTTCTGCTCCTGCTCCTGCTCCCGCGCCCGCGGCGGCGGCGGCTGCTTGGGCGAGATCAACAAGTCGGGGCTGAGCTTCGGCTCAGAGCTCGCTGCGATTCTGTCCCGCACTTCGGAGCGCCGGGAGCTGGGCAGCGAGGCGGGACGGCGCCACCTGCGGGTCTCAAGCGTGCGCGCTACTTAACTCCTGAGTGCCCGGCCAGCCTGCTGGTGAGGCCAGCTGGGAGATTAGGCTAAGGCGGCGCATCTGGCGTTGGCCCAGCTCACCAGGGCTATGTCCACTACCTGTCTTGCAATCCCACCTTCCTTGGTCGTGTCAGCTCATGGGCTGAATTTCCAGCGCATGGGCATCTGAGATGCGGCCATAACCAAACAAACACAAACTTTGGGGCCCTGATGGAGCTGGTTGGAGACAGACCATAAACACAGAAAGTCAAAGAATATGTCAGGGATACGCATGGGGTGGGGAGGGGGGAGGAGGCAGAGAGCAAAAGAGGCAGGTGTGGGAGTGGGAGCAGATTGCCATTTTAAATAACCCTTGCTTTCCAGAGCTTCCATACTAGATTCAAAAACCCCAGATCTAGATAGAACTCCAGATTCTAGTGGGAAAAGGTGGACAGTGATTACATCAGCAAATACATATGCAATTTGGCAATGGTGATTATGGCTGAGAAGAACAATAAAGCAAGGCGGTGAGGTGAGTGAGGGCCCTCTAAGCCAGTCGATGAGCCTGATGATTCATTCATTGAAGTTGGACAGCTGTGTGCCAGGCCCTGTGCCAGGCTCAGTAGGGGCCATCCTCCCGTGGAGTGCCCTGTCCAGTGGGGGAGCAGAACCAGTCAAATAATCTCCAGAAGTGAATAAAGAACAGAAAAATTTACCAAGAGGGGACAAGACCCCCCAAGGATGCATAGCTGGACCCCATGTTTGCTAACTCACTCCTTCATGTACATATTTACTGCAGGGTAAGTAAGTCGGTACTGGTGAGGCCTCTGTTTTGCAGGAGAAAAACTGTGAACAACCCACAGGATCCCGAGGTAAGGTCCTTTCCCTCTCTGGTCCTTTTCTTCATTTCATAAATTCTTCATTCCCATGGAGTTGCATGTAATCCGCTTTTCAACCTGTTCACTTCTCGCCACCTCCAACATAACCCTTGTCCAAGGTGTTGTCACCTCAGGTAGTGAGCACGGATGCCCTTCCACAGACCCCCACAACAAAGAACTCTCCAGCCAAGAGTGCAAATGGAGTCGAGGTTGAGAAATGCTAAATCAATGTAATAGAAGACAACTGTGAGGTTCTGAAGAAGGAGGTTCAAGCAAGGGGGACCCCCAAGAGCAAAGGTTCCAAGGAGAAATGAACTGGACAAAGGGTGTTGGAGAAGTGAAGGGGCCACATTTCTGCTCCGGGTCACATGGTCACGCCTAGACCAGTCTCTGGCAATGGGTTCTGCCCCACAGGACGGCCCACTCCTGCACGAACAACAGTGAAATCTGTTTAATGAGGAAGAAGTGGAGATCGAGGCTGGTCGGGCAACCAGCAGTGTTTTCACAATGTCCCTTAATGTCCCACACGATGCCAGATACAGAGTAACTGCTCAAAAAATGTTTGCTGAATGAATAATAAACCATCTTTTAATTATTATATATAAGACATTCAATACAAGACACACCTCTGACTTCAGGAGTAGCCAATCTCTTGGTTGGACTGGAGGCAGTGTGTACAGAAAGAAAATTGGCCAAGGGCTCTCTTATGTCCCTCTGCTCTGACTCTGTCCGCATTCTCAAGTCACCTAACTGATATTTGTAAATACATTTTTTAAAGAACCAGGTGTGTGTACAGAATTCATACTCTGGGCAAGTACATCCCTTCTGTTAAGGAGATGGGGTCACAAGCTGGAGACCTGAAGACTTGTGTTGTTTGACCATCACATTTTTTTTAAACTTGAGTTAATATTTAAACATATGGCTTCTCTTGAAAAAGTAGAGAAATTGATGAATGCTGCGCCCATTCCTGTAAAACACAGCAATCATGCACAGAGTAGTGGCTCCCCGTAATTTGCAGCTGCCCCATTAGGTAGGATGGGCTCCCCGGTTTGCTCTAGTCTCTCTCCCGCAGATCCCCACCCAGGTCACTGTCCTTATTTATGTTACTGGTTGGACTTGGCAAAAAAAAATTAAGCCTGAGCTTCTTGCATAAAAGGCCAAGGATGTCCACAGAGGTGTCTTGTCTCTGTAGCCCAAGCTCCGCACTGAGCCCAGTTTTTTAAATTCTTCAAATAAAATGTCTGTATGTAATTTGAAAGCATCTGCCCCTCATTTCTTAAATAGTCTGCCTTTATAACAGGAGACACTATTTAGCAATAAAGTCAATACAGGGGAAAGTAGACCTCAGGACTGAGATACTGAATCTTTCCTATGTCATTAGAGCTCCTGGATCAAGCCATGCCTGAGGCCGGTGACTATAGGTTTTCCAGTGAAGCGAGCTAATAAATCGGCCTCCTTTTTACTTAAGCCTAAGCCAGACAGAGTTGTCACTTTGTCATTTATCTACCAAAGAACCCAGCTGATTTAGTTGTCTCTCCACTAACCAGAAGTTCATCCTTGTACTTAAAAAACTGGGCAAAGAAAAGGAACTACTGGAAGCAGGACAATAATAAAACTTGAGTGTTCTATTAGAAGAATCCCCCTCAGCCTTCCCTGGTTATGCAGCAGGTTAAAGCACAGCACTGATAAGCTAAAGACAGAATGAGTTTGATTCCTGACCCAGAGGTGACCCACATGGTGCAGCAGACCTCTCCTGTCTCCCTGCTGCTCCCCTCAGCAGTGTACTTTATCAGTCAGCCTGTTCTGCTCCCCACTCTGTCTCTGGTGAAGCCTCTCTCCGCCCCTGCACCTCTGGCCTGTACCCCAGTTCTATATGCATAAATAAATAAATCTTTTAAAAATATAAAAATCAATTAAAAAAAGAAGGTTCCTCCTCAATAAGAGTTCAAGTGTTGCCATTTCATTCTTGTCTTGGGAAGACAAGAAAGCCTGTCGATGGACACACACCCCATGGTTAACCAGCAAGTGAGCACCAGCACCAGGGCCCGCCAGAATCCCCAGGCCTCCCAGGCTGAACACCTTTCAGAATGTCTTCTGTGCACACCCTTTCAATATACCTTCAACTGAAAGGGGTTGAAACTTCCCTGAGGCTGAGTGAAGTCAAGCTGGCCCAACTTGTCCATGTAAACACAAGTGAATTCCCCTCTAAATGGTGCTGGCGAGAGATGTGTCCATGTGAAGTCAGATTTTGCCCTGGATTCCGTTAAACCAGCCACCACTGACTTATGAGCCCTCTGAATGTCCTGTCCCGGTTTCTCAGCCCTCCTAGGCACTCAACAGGACTAATCCCTGCTTCCCTCTTGCCCACAGGTGTCTGGGAAGGAATACTTGCTTTATGAAGGTGCTTGGGGATGACCCAAAGTCTTGAGGGAAACCATATACATCTCTGAGTGGATGGGACTCAGGGTTACTCTGAGTGGATGTTCATCTCTGCCTTAGTCTTCTCCAGGAATTTTCTCCCAGCTTGGACTCCTATTTTCCAGGCCATTCTTCTTTTGATATATAATAATAATAATAATAATAATAATAATAATAATAATAATAATGTCATGAGCAAAAGGAGGTTTGTAGCATAACGTACCTCACAGTGCTGCTGGAAGGACCAGTGAGGGGATTGACATGAAGTGTTAGGCACCATGCCTAAGGAGTTATTACAACAGTAGTAGCTACACTAACAACCACAGTAACAGCAGCAAACTTTAACTGAACAATTGCTATATATACCAGGGACTGAACGTAAGGTTTTGCCTGTCACTGACTTCATTTAAGAGACTTTCTAACTTTTTCATTCTTGGACTGAATATCCTAACGTTAAGAAGACCTATTAGCTGGTTGAGTGACCAGATGTCTGACTCCATTGCCCGGTCTATACACGTCTGATTGCCTTTATCAAACCCCAGGTTTCCTGGTCCAGGTTCTAGGTAAATGGGTAAACCTACTTTTCTGATCAATGCAAATACTTAAATATTTTTCTTTCCTTTTTTAGCCATCTCCTGCCCAGCAATTCAACCACCAAATCCTTCATCCATAGACTCAGCCATGAACTGTTCAACTACATAGCCACCTCACCTATTCTACCCATCTGTCAATCCCTCACTGACCCATTTTGCTTTGCATTCAAAGCACATTCCACCCACACCCCTCTTTCCACCCACCTGTCCATTTAACCATCCACCTACCCTCTGACTCTCCAACCACCCATCTTTTTACCCATCCACCTACACATGCATCTGTGAATCTACTCACCCATGCACCCACCCCAAATACTCAGACGTCTGTCCAACACTTGCCCATCTACCCATCCATCCATCCATCTGTCCACACACACCCCACCCATAAATCTACCCCTTCACCCAGCCATCCCTATACATCTGCTATTGGAGTATATGGATATTATATGCACGTGCATACTATATGGATTGTTTGGGGCTAACCCTTGGCATGTATTCCTGCACGCCTCCCAAGGGAGGAGATGTGGGTGCCACCAGAGAGTCCCACAGAGGGAGGGAGGGAAACTGCATAAATAGCCCAGTGAACCTGCTCATGGCCTAGGCTTTGCCAAAGTCATTGACTCCCAGGGTGAGGACTGAGGCATGGGACTCCAGCAAGCAGTTAGAAGTCAACTAATATTTCTTCCCCACAGTGAAGTCTGGGTACTCCAAGATGCAATGGAAAAGGAGCGAGTCAGCAAAAGGAGGAAATCAGAGCCACAGAGAGCAACAGCTAATTAACTGATTCTCCTAAGATTTCATTAAACTCTAGCTCCTCTGCCCTTTGAGGACCGATGTCTTCCCTACCTTTTTCCAGTGCCCTTGACCACCCCTTCCCAATCTCCTCTGTCTCTTGTCTTGTCTCCCTCCCCAGTTTTATCCTTCCTCTAATCCAGCACAAGTCTGACCAGGTCCCTCCTGCTTCCGGTCCTCAGGACTGCTCACTGTCCAGGATAAAGGACTCCCCCAGGACTCTCCCAAGACCAGCAAAAGGCCATTCACTCAGCACATGTTTCCAGGACACCTATTTGATACCAAGCTTGTGTTGTGCACTGGGAATACAGCCATACTGGAGCTCACATTCAACAGAGACTTGAAAAAGAATCTAGTGTGATCTTTGCTGTGAGGGATAAAAGCAAAAACAGGAGCATCAGAACAACAGGGTTGAGGGAGCAATGAAGACACAGGCGAGGGGTAAACAAGCCATGAAAGTGGGCAAGGGCATTCTGGCCAAGGTAGCAGGGAAGGGAGGTACAAAGACCCTGGGGTGCGAGGGAGGGTTGAAGGAGATGAAGATGGCAGGTGTGGCCAGGGTGGAAGGTATGAGGGCAAGAGTGGGCAGAGAAGGGGCAGGCGGAATAACTAGAGGTAAGAGAGAAACATCATGTAGGTGAGGCCTGTGGGGAGGTGTTTGGATTTTATGTCAAGAGTGTTGAAGGGTTTTAAGCAAGGAGAAGTTGATCTAATTTTTACCTTTCGGATATAAAAGTCTGTTTTGGGGATGTGAACTCTCAGTTTCTGCTTTAGCCTCAGCACCTCAAACTGAGGACTGGCTGAAGAATGCCCTCCTTGTAGGGAAGGTACCGGCCCCTCAGTCAGGGCTTGCTGAGGGTCCATCACCCTGTCTAGGTAGACAGGAGACAACAGGTAACTTTTTTTTTTGGAGAGGGTGTCCAGAATTCTAGATTTTTCCTTTCTTTGTAGATAAAGATGCTGTCCCATACAGAAACCTAGGATTATTGGGCACAGAAATTTGACTGACCCATCCTCCCTGTTTCCCAGCATCCTCGCCCACTGCTTATCCATATATTTCAGGCAAAGACTCCCGATTCTGGCCCATGGGTAGCTTGTTCCCAATGAGGACCCCAAGTGAACCTGCCTCCTGGCCGCCCCCTGTTGTGGACTGTCCCCTTCTCACTGAGTCTAGACCTGGCCTGGAGACCCCCATCTTCTGCAGAACGTGCCAGAAGTGAGGCCATCTCCAGACCTGAGCCAGGAAAAGGCTGCATGGCCTCCACTTTTGGCTTTTGGGAACCCCGACCCACCAACAGGCCTTCCTGATACCCTGACGGAGAGGCCATGAAGAGAGGGAGACAGTCCCAAATTACTCGGATTGAGAGAGCAGCTTACCACCCATCCTGATGCTGCTGCCCCACCTGACATGTGACTGTGGCTACTTGAGAGGCCCCAGGTGAGACCAGAAAACCCACCCAGCTGAACCCCAACCACCCACAAAACCACAAGAAACAACAAAATCATTTTTTAGTTGAAGCAGCATAGCGTCATATAAGTAAAATCATTTCATTTTAAGCCACATGTTGGAGTTCTCTGCTACACAGCAAGAGGCCATGGACACGGGGTCTTTGCTCCTGTGGTTCTGCTTGGAAAACGCCCATCACTGCCCACACGGGGGACACCTAGGCACCTTTCTAAGCCCAGATCCAGCGTCATGACTCATCCCGTGGTTTTGGCCAGTTTCTCTTTCTTTTTGGAAACTGTTACCACACTAACTTAAAATGCCTCTGCATCACTTTGAGGTGTCTGTCATTCCCAGCCAAGCCTAATCCTACCCCTTGCACTTCCACAGATCTCACAGATGAAGAAAATGATGGGAGGGACATTATTTTCACTCAAAGATTTGAAAGACAAACCAATTTTCCCCCAAAGTTAATGTAATTGATTTCACTCCTTTTTTATATGAAAGCAAATGCATTCTTGGCGAAGGAGAAAGAACATCCAGTGAGTTTTGAAGAGGTGAGGTGGTAAGCACTTTCCCAAGGGGTCCCCTAGGGGGCGTCCTGTCCTCTGCAAGACCCTGAATAGAGTGGGGGTCCAGTCTGCACTGGAGCCCCCTTCGCCCCCCCCAAGCCAAACTCTTCACTATGACCCCAGAGATTCTTCCTCTGGAAATGGAGACAGTGATGGATGACTTGGAAGGTGGCTGGGGGTGTGATAGAGGCTGTCACACCCACAAAAGGACAGGGACCCAGTCTGTGCACAGCAGCTGATGGGGTGGGGGTCCCTCCCCAGCAGGGGCCTCGCTGCTCCCTCATTCCGACTCTGACTCTCGCTCCCAATCACACTCAGAGGCAGTTTCACAAACAAGAGGGTTTAATATATTTCAGCACATTTCCACTTGACAATATTATATGAAAATAGAACTCTTTGATAAAAGAGCGAGACATAACAATCGCTGCTATCACAAAACACCGTCTTTATTTGAAAAAAAGAAAAGCAAAATCGAAGACTTTGAGCAAGACACTTCAACTCTCAGAGTGGGTTCCCCACCCAGAGGGGGCGGTCCTCCTGAGCAGGGCAGGTGGGAGGAAGTGGCCCTGGACCCAGCAGATGCCAGGACAGCAGCTCACTCCCTGACTTTTCCCTCTCACCTGGGGGCCAGGCGCACCTTGGGTGGTGCAGGCCTGGCTCAAACACCACTCCCTGCCTGTTGCATTTTGTCACCCAGAGGACGCCAGCAGGGAGGCCCTTCCCCAGCGGATTTCGTTTTCACAGCTATTTTCTATTTTTGACAGCGAGTGATACATGTTGTCAGTTACTGGCAGCAAAAAAAAAAAAAAGTTCCCTTTCTAAACAAATTTACGTTAAAAAAAAGTCTGTTTAGGCGAGAAAATAACAAAAATAATGAACAACCATATACCAGAGACATTTTGCGGGGGTGGAGTGGGGAATGGGATCAAAAACAGGGGGGTGGGGAGGGAAATGCACAGGATTATGGTGATGGCACACTGGTGACTTGGTGATGGGAAACCCGCGGGATTACAATTGAGATGGAAAAAAAAAATGTACAAAATGATGTAAAAATAAACTTTTGTAAAAAAAAAAAGTCTGTTTAAAGGAAAACACCTGGTAAACAACAGTACAAATTATAACCCCCCCCCAAATAGTAGGACAGGTGAGGAAGCATGCCTGCAGGGCACCCTAAGAGCACAGCCCCCCAAACCCTGCAGTTTGTGGTTCTAAAGGAAGCCATGACAAAATACAATGCCATGGACACCCCGCTAGGCTGTAGTGTGAGCTCACCCCTCCTCCCCCACTTTTCTCTATAGCCTATGTTGTTTCCAAGAAGAATGAAAAGCAATAAAGGTGAAAACAGGGTGGGAGGGCTTAATCATGGTCTCCTGAGCTGTACGTCAGTATCTCCAACTCCAGCTGGAGCTGCCTGGTCGAAGAATCGTCTCTTCCTAATGATGGACTGGGGCCGCCTTAAAAAGCAATTGGCCCTTTTGTGAACGGAGGTGAGACTCTAGTCTGGCGGCCCAGGAGCCCTGATTTGGGAGGGGACATCCTGAGGGTCCCCCCAGCATGCCAGGGAGGACGCCAAGACCAGCCATCTTCCTGCAGCTATTTCTGCCTCTTTCTGCCTTCCCTTCCAGCCAGGATGAGGCAGCAGAGGGTTGCCATGGAAACCGGCTCCTTCCTCCCAAAGGAGGCTGCCAGCCTGATTTCCTGCGGAGTTAAGAAGCAGGCAGCAGCGGGGGTCACCCAGGCGTGAAGATGGGTTTCCCTGGGGATATCCCACCTCCTGCCAATCACAGTCTGTCTGGGAATCCTGGGGGTGCTTGGAGGCTGAGGGGCCAGGGAAGCCCCTAAGCCCTCGTGCTACTCAGAGAAGAGACTCACCCCTGGGACATTCAGAGATCTCTCTTCTCTCTCCCAGGCTGTACTTCAATATCTTCAGCTCCAGCTCCCTTCAGCCTAAGCTACAAGGCCCTGGCGATGTGAGTGCCCGTGTCTCACGAGCTCACCCACCCAGGGGTGCCTGCAGCTCTGTCAGCTCTCAAAAGCCAGACAGAACTCCCTCTCCTCTCCCACCCCGAGCCCAAGGAGCGCAGCATTACTCACACTGCCGTGGACAGGGCAGCGAGTGTGCTACCAAATTCTACCATCTCGGCAGCTGTGCGGACCTTGGGCAAATTGCTTTACCACTCTGGGCCCATTTTTTCTCTGCAAAGAGAAACAGCCTTCCTCTCTTTATAGACATGCTGTGAGAAGTAGCAATACTATGTCCACTGTGCCCATCATGGCCGTGAGAGGGTCCTCAATGGATAGCAGCTGGTGTCAATAACGACATCACCATCATAATAATATCTTCCAGGCAGTTTCTCGCTGAGCTGATTTCTTTTTCTGAAGCTAGATGCAAAAGCATGTTTTCACTGTTGGTCTGTTTGTTCAAAGTCTAAGAGTCACAACAGGGCTTGCTCGCAAAGCCAAATGGCTCAGGGCCCAGCGGGTACCGTGCCCAGAGACGCAGACAGAGAGAGCAGAGGCCCCATGGGTCGGGCGGGCGCGTGGCTGTGAGGGAGGCAGCCGCTTCTTGGCTCCGGCCAGTGGCTGCCCCTGGGACTAGGTTTTGCAAGTTTTCAAGAGAAGCTGGACATTTTGAATTAACGCTTTTTGAATTAAAGAGGATATAACAACTAAAGCATATGCCAACCAACGCTGGGTTACAGACTGGGCTGTGCCCACAGCTGGAGCATCTGAGCTAGAGAACAGGAAACCAGGACCTCCTCTTTCCCTGGCTGGACCACAGCAGTCCTGGTGCTTCCTCCCATCGGCCGTCCTGGGGGGCCGGTCTTCTTGATTCCCTGCCTGAGTCTCAACCCTGGGGAAACCCCCTCGCGGGAGAGCTCCTCACTCTGGACCAGAGCATGCTCTTGCTCCCAGCCCAGCATGGGCAGAGTTCATGTCTGCACTGCAGCACACCAGCCAGGGGAAACCCACCTGCCTTTTACAAGTATCAGTGAGGACGAGGCAGAGGGAGGTGCCAGCAGAAGCGGCATCCAAGAAGCCAGGTGGGATGGGATGTCTTTGGCTGAATGATAATTTGGGGGCAGAGTTTATTTCAAGGGACAAGCTGCCAGGTCAGAATGGGCCTTCCCCAGGTATAGCATCTGTGCTGGCTGGTTCTGGCCGGGAGCTCATCAGGAAGGACCTGGAAAGGGACTTGCCAGGACTTGGGGATACTGGAATGAGGACTCCTAGTTCACCTCGTGTGCCTGGATTTTGTGGGTTTCATAAGGCAAGAGCGAGGTGAGCCAGAAGCAGAGGGAAGCTCTCTCTGGGTGTAAATCCTCGCAGCAGTCAGTCCATAGAGCTTCTCCTCTGATGTCTGTTTGCTTTCTCTTAGCTCCTCTTCTTCCTCGCCCTCCCCTCTCCCCCACAGCCTCCTGACTCAGCCTTGTAGGGAAAAAAGCAGGAAAGTAGTGAGGCCAGCACCCTGGGGTGTTAAAACTCTGCCCCCAGGCCAAATGCAGACACGGAGCCCAGACTGCAGGGGCAGGCTGGCTGGAGTGGGCCTGGCTGTCCACCTCGGCCTTAGCGAAGGCGGTAGCGGATGGTCACGTCATGTTCCGGCTGCATCAGGCCGAAGCCGTACCTGCTGAGGTCAAACTGGGGGACCTCCACGTCCGGGTGGGTCAGCTCCAGGTCCAAGTGCGTCAGCACCAGCAACACAAATCTACAGAAGGCAGGAGAGGGAGAGTGGGGGACTAAGTCAGAATTGGTCAGGAAGCCATGGCTGCCTCCTGAGCCTGGGCCCTACACTCACTCTGGGGAGGGTGGCCAAGGAGAGGGCAGGACACAGGGGTCCACTGCTCACCAGAGGCCCACGAGCTGTCCCCACGCTGCTAGACCCCTCTGGTTCCAGCTGGCAGTGCCAATTATACACCAAAGTATTCCAGAGACACCCTCCAGCTCCTTCTCCTGTCCCTTAGCTATGCCGGCCTCACGTGGAGGCGGGGAAGTGGGGAGCCGCAAAGAGTGTGGCTGTTAAGTCTCGGCAGGAGGGGGAGGACCTCCCCAAAGCCACAGGCGAGCTAATCCCTGAGAGGGCTGAGACTTGGGGTGTTTTGTTACAGCAGCATCGCCTGGCCGCTCCTGATTAGTCAGACGCCCCCCTACAAACTCCAGGCACCTTGGCCACCCGTCGCTGTTGAGGCTGCTGCTAATCGCAGGTGTCTGTGGGGTGACAACAGGCACCCCTCCCTGGAGACATTTTACTGGTGTCTGTGGGGAAACTGTCAGAACAGACTAACTTGGCAAGAAAAGCTGCCTTCACTGCCATCTTCTGGAAAACTGCTAACAAGCATCTACCGTGTGCATGACGTAATCGCTCTGTCCAGACGCCACGCCACCCACCGCAGAGAGCCCTGCGGGGCTCCTCAGCCTGAGGACAGAGAGAGCCGTGCGCTGGACACGCGCTGGGCTGGACTCTGCCCTCCGGGCTGTGTGGGCCTCGGTTTCCCCACAGGGAAAGAGGCAGGATGGGTGCCCCTGAGGCTGGGGGGCTGGGGAGTGAGCTGCCGTGGGCCGGGCATCTGCCATGCTCCACTTACCAGGCGCACGGTGTGGCAAAGACATGGCCTCTTCCCAGTCGGTACTAGGAGGCCGCTCCGCCAGCAGTTACCAGGGTCGTTAAGTGATGAGCGTGAGGAGAAATCAGCTGATTTATTGCAACACTAGGTGTGCGGCCCATGCAAGCACCCATTTCTCTTTTCCCCTGTCCCAGGTGTGAAGACACAGGCACCAGGGGAGGGGCCTCACACTTGTTTTGGACACTGAGTGGGCTTCAGAGGGACTGATAGTATCGGGGTGTGGAGAAGCTGAGCACAATTTCGCATTTGCCTCTAACTTCGCCTGCAAAAACACAAGGAGAACGCGAACCCCATGCCGGCTGCCCCGAGCTGAGCGGGGGTCCACAGAGCACGCACAGACATCCCTCAACTCTGCCCAGAGACCCTGCCGCCAGGGGCGGGCAGGAGAGGGGTGCGAGCACACCTGCCCACCAGGTGTGGGGCTCCCGGCGGGCGCCCTTCCAGCTCCGCCCGCCCTCGGAGCAGCTGAAGCCCATCGTTGGCTGTTACTGCTTTTACGCGCAAATGGCAATGTTCCCACACCGCTAGCCCAGGGCCTGTTTTTTTTTTTTTTATTATTATTAAAGATTTATCTATTTACGCATACAGAACTGGGGTACAGTCCAGAGGTGCAGGGGCAGTGAGAGGATTCACGAGTCAGAGTGGGGAGCAGGACAGGCTTGTGCCACGTCCACAATCAAGCTCCATCCAGGCGGTTGTCAAAGTAAAGGCCCCTGTTTACCGTAGCACCTTGGGCTTATGTGTTTTACCTGTGTAAGCTGGTACTAGCAATTTCCCCTACTTATCTTATTGGCGTGTCCCAGGTGTCTGTTAGGTCTAGCCCCATTTTCCCCATAACCTCTGTGAGTTCAAAAATAATTTGCTCGGGGGGATCTGGCCCTGCGCGGTGATCTTTTAGAATGTACAAGGAGCGGGAGCACAAGCTGGCTGTGTGGCTGTCTCTGTTTTACGACATTAAAACAGGCCACGAGGTTAGAGGCGTGGGAACATTACCCTTCGTGCGCAAAAGCAGTCACAGCCAACATTTACTAAACGCTAACACCGGCCCAGATTGTGGGCCACGTACTAGAACCAGGTCCCTTCGTCTTGACGGCCTTGCAAGGCAATGTGATGGGCACCCCATGCCGCAGCTGCAGAAATAGAGGAGGTCGCCCACCTTCTGGTTACACAGGGCCATCACCTGCTTGTCCGTCTGCGATCCTGGGGCCTAAGTCTCGGGATCCAGGGAAGAGAATTTATGGGGTGTTCAGCCCACAGGTGTTCAGATAGCCAAGCGGGGACATGGTGGTCCGCCACGCCTGCTGTGGGGCTCAGGACACACGCGGGAGCTGCAGAGAGCCGGGCTGGGGCTGGCAGTGTTTGGCATTCCAGGTGCTTTGGGTCTGGGCACCAGGCATGGCGGGAAAACCTCTTGCCAGATTTGATCATTTCAAGAGAAATCAGAATCTGGCTGTTTATGTGAGCACTTCTGAGTTTTAAAAGGTAGCACTCCTGGGTGTGCCCTGAGCTTGCAGACGGCTCTGGACCTTTCTCCAGCCTGAGTCCCTCCAGCTTCTGGGAGGGCTGTGCACCAGAATGTTGGGGAGCCCTGTCCCCCACCACACTCACTGCTTGATGCTGCTGGTGGCGTAGGCCCGGCCCAGGCACTGGTTGTGGCCCGCGCCCCAGGGCAAGGTGTAATTTTTCAGTCTCTTCCCGTCCTTGTAAAAGTCTTTCTTCTCTGATCCATCAGGGTTCAGGAATCGGTTGTATTTAAATACCTGAAATGGGAAGAGGGCCCGTTCCTGACTCTCCCCTCCCCGAACATGCAGGTATGGAGAAAAATGTGTATTCATCACAGTGTTGGATAGCAGGGGGAGGACAGCGGGTGGGGACTGGGCTGGGAAGTGACCGCCGCTGTTTAGAAAAGACTGAGGCTGGTCTGTGAGTGCTGACATGGAGAGAACTGGTAACTGAGTGAAGAAAAGCAAGTTTGGAACAACATGCAGTGTTTGAGCCCTCAGAGGCACGCATCTCCTCTCACCTTGGGTCTGTAAATGCGTGAGAATGACTTAGGGCTAGACTCCAAGCCATCAGAGGGAATTTTGTAGGACTTGGGAGGAAGGCAAACGGAAGAAAAAAGCGGTAGTTTTAAATATACGCATGGGTGGTTTTTGTAGGTATACTTCACTTTCATAATTTAAAATCAAAGAAATGAAAATTATTTGTTTTAAAAGAGAATGCCAGTGTCCTTGGTTTACATTGTAGAGTTTAAGGTGAGGGTGCATTGGAGCACAGTTTGGCATAAAGTAAGCGCTGAATGAAAGATGGATGGAAAAGTCGGTAAATGGACACATAAGCAGATGGCAAGGTGGACCGATGGGTGAATGACCAGCTGGGCAGCTAGGCGTGTGGATGGAAGGACGGCTGGGAGCATGGGTGGGTGCATGTGTGTGTGGGTGGGCGGCTGGGTGCATGGCTGGGTGGATGGGTGCGTAGGTGGGTGGGTGGCTTGTGCATATAGCACGGGGCCTGGCACACAGCATGCATCCAAATTGTGAAAATTTGTCCTAGCTAAAAGTTCAGGGAGAAGGAAAAGTATCGAGAAGCTGACATGATAACATTCTGAAAAAAGGAAAACCGCTCAGCCACAACAAAGCACACAGGTGCGCCAGGCAGGCTCGCGAGCCACCGTCTCACTGAGGCCTCACTTCATCTCCCTCACAATCCCTGAGGCCCACTCCACAGGGAGCAAGCAGAGAGGGGACGTGATCTGGTCACCCAGCACAAAGAGCACAGCTGCACCCCTGGCTGGCCCAGGTGTAGGGGGCATTTACCTCCGGGTCCGTGTAGATTTCCGGGTCCTTCTGGGGACTCAGGAAGGGGAAGAGGAGGAGACGGTCACCCCGTCGCAGGGCGAACTCCCGCCCGTCAGCCATGGGCAAGGCCAGGTCCACCATGACCTCCCGGGTGATGAAGGGCGCGGCTGTGAGCCTGAGGGTCTCGCTCAGCACGCTGTCTGCACAGGACGGGCATGGCAGGGTCAGCCTCGCCCGCACCACCGAGTACCACCCCATCCTTATTTTCAGGGGAAGGTGGAGGCTTAGTGGGGTTACACCTCCTGCCCACTTGGGAAGAGTGGCTGCAAAGGCCAGAGAGCAAGGATGCGTGGTCACTCCCATGCAGAGACCTTGGGCACAAGGGTTTGGGATTGGTCTGGAAGCTGTGAGGGAAGGTGGGAGCCAGAAATATCAGAGCCGGCAAGGGGGAGCAGGGCCACCCACAGTGGTCGTTTCTGCCTACCCAGCATACATGCCCCTTCTGGAAGCAGTTCCTGACTTTGCTCTGGACATCACCCCTCTCCCACTCTCAGGGGTTGGGATGTTAATTCTACCCCTAGTAGATATCGATGGGCAAGTCAGAGCACCCTGCGATTGGGCATAGACCCCAAGAGAGCCGATGAGACTTTGGGTAGGAAAGTCACGGCTTTGGGTCAGAGGCGACAGAGAAGTCCACCTCTCTGGGCAGAGAACTCGGCAGCTACAGGTGTGGGCAGCCGTAGCCAGACGGGGTCTGGAACCAGCCTGGCGAAACAGAGGCGAGCGACGGTGACAGCCTGAGTCCTGATGCCGTTGTGAAAGCACCTGGATCCAGCTATGCCTGAAGCCGCACAGATATCTGACCCTCTGGACATATTTGTTACATTCCCAAATAAAGTTTCTTTTCTGCTTCAGCCAGTTTTCAGTTCAGTTTTCTGCCACCTGCAACCAAAATGTCCCACCGAAACCTTAAGCTGAGACCAAGGCCCGGAGGTGTCGGGGCTGAGATAGGAGACTCAGGGAGACTGTGGGCCAGAGGGCACTCTTGGAGTCTGCATGAAGGGAGCCCATGTTGGGGAGGACTTGGGGCCCATGACCCGTGAGGACGGAGCGGTGGGGCGCTCTCGGAGGGGCGGGCCAGCTCACCAAGCACGGACATGCTGTCCAAGGCCTTCTGCGGGAGGGCGCTCGTCTGCAAGACAGGCTGCTCCAGCTGCGAGAAGGAATACTCCAGTTCTTGGCGGACAGCAGCCAGGGCCTCCGGGTTCTTGAGGAGGAAGAGCAGGAGCCAGAAGGCAGTGGGACCCATGTTCCCCTGCAGTGAGAAGCAGCCCCGTTATTACATTAAGATAAACCTGGGGTGTGAGCCACAGACACAGTCCTGGCTCAGCGTCAGGAGGTCCCCACCCCTGCCCACATCCAGGCACACCCGAGACACGGCCAAATCTGCTCTGTGGCTCTGGGTTGGCGCCCACTTCAAGGCCTGTCCGGGCATCCCTGGCTTGAACAAAGTCGTTGATCTGCGATCATACAGGTCATCTTCGGAGCTAATCAGAGGGGAAGCATCATGGCAGGAACAAAGGGAGTCAGTTTGGGTTAGTACTGCATCCTGCCCCACCCTCTAGGCTTCCCTGCAACCACACCCTGGCCGGAGGCTGGGCTTCCTCCTGCTTATTTTCCCAGTCCCCTGAATATGGGCGCAGCCCTGTGGCTTGCTTCAGATAATAGAGAGAGGTGGAATGGACAGGCCAGCGGTTGGTTTTACATCCGGGCCTTCGGGGAGCACACTGTGTGTGTGCGTTTTCCTACTTGTCTGGCTCGCCTACCTGAACTTGGAGGAGGTTGAACAGCAGAGTTGAGCTGTTTACAGCTCAGATTTGGCCTTGTCCTGAGCTGTCCAGAGTTGGTCTCCACAGCTGACTGCCAGTGGACTAACAGATGTGTGAGTTAAGCTCTCATCAGTGAGTTTCTGTGGGTACTACATCACCATAGCAAATTGCCACCACATCTGACTATTTGCCTTCAGATATATACACCTTAGGTGTGGAGAAAGCAAAGTAGCAGTAATCACAGATGACTGTGATGGCTATCAGTTTCTTGAACAAAAATAACTTCAAACTCCCAACAGTGAAATTAGCTTATTTTTTTCCAAAAGTGAAATTATAAAGAAAATGGATGGAATTTCTTCCTCTAAGACTTGTGCCTTGGCAGAACATTTTAACACTCGGGCAGTCAGCATGTGGCTAAAATGTATATGGAGTGCCCTTAGCTGGGCGGAAAGCCGGGAGCCCTGGTTTAGGGCAGATTTTTGTCTATCGTGACGATTATCCAGTCGTAATATGGACTATGAGTCATGAAATGTTTGCCCAGTCATTCTGTCGTGGACACAATTACACGCAGACAAAAGGACATTTGCACAAGGATGTTTACCGAAGTGCTGATATAACAGCCAGGGACGGGAAGCAACCTCCAGATCTATCAGGATCAATGAGAGAAATAACGATCCATCGTCATTTATAAGATGATGATAAAGGGAGTTGTTAAAAATAAGCCGGTCCTTCCTGTGTTTGCTGATGGGGATGGTACCCAGCAGGCGCTGGCAGACCCCAAGAGGGTGGAGGGGAGGGGGTGGTAGCAGGGAGGGGGACCGCTAGAACTGTTGTGTGTGCTGAGAGGGCTTTTCACCAAAAAGCACAGATCACGTCTCTAGAAGGAGACAGAAGAAGCTGGTGATGGAGGCTGCCTCTGGGCAGACACTGGGAGCGCAGAGGCTGGAGCAGGGCTTTCCGCCTCCGTCCCTCTAAAAGGAGTTCCTCTTACATGGATGCACTATTGTTACGTGACACAAGGTAAATGACTTCTACAGTGATCTCCAGTAATCGGGGGAAACGCTGCAGTCAGTAAAATAAAGATGGAGACTTTTAAAATGCCATGGTTTCATCACAGAAAAAAAATGATGGTAGAAGAGAGTAAAAATGCACCAGTGCATGAAGGACAGTGAGGCTGTTTCTGACCTTTTCTTTAGCCTCTGTGAGGTCAAGGCCAAGGTGGTGCCACATTTCCTGTCCAACTACCCATGAAGCAGCGTGGCACCTCTTACTCAAGAAAAGGAAAATGAAGCATTTGCTAGTCCCGACCCACTGCCTAGCCCCTGTGCCTGGGACCCGGGAGATGGCCCTGGAAGTCCTGGACTGGAGCAGGGCAAAGGGTGTTCATGTCCCAGTTCCCCACGTTCTGCGATGATGAACAAGTCAATCCCCTCATTGGGTCTCAGAATCTCCCCCTTGGTCAAATGGGGTGGCCCCAAGGCCCCTGAACCCCTCACCAGTGAGCCTCATGTGGGGGGCTCAGAGGTGGGCTCCCCCTCCTTCCTACTAGCTCACCCAGTTTTGAGAACAGGTGAGAATCCGACTGTGATTTCCCCAGCACCTGCTCCAGCCTGGTGGAGATAAGCAAGGTCACCTGCTGTCCATCACTTAAATAGCCGGGGGATGGAGGTGATAAATAATTCAGCTTTGGGTTAACTCAGTACCGGGGCCATTTCATCCTGCCGGATGCTGGATGCTCGGATGGGGGCTACCGCTCATTAATGACAAAGTAGGAGGTCCCTTGGTTCTCTGCTTTCAGGAAAAGGCGTGGCACGTTAGGGAGGGGACAAAGACCGCCCTCACCTCGCTGCAGAGAAGCGAGTGTGTGTGCGCGCGCACCCAATGGCCATCAGAAGCCCTGAGCTCACTACTCAAGGGAGCGCTTCCTCCCGGGGAGATTGCCTCAGCAGCTGTTTCAATGGAACCTCAGTGGCTCCACTGCGCGGTGTTCCAAGCGCTCCGCCGCGCGTGTCGGGTCGACCTTTCCTGTGGGTGGAGGTGCTGGCCTCCAGGGGGCGCGCGGTGCGCCAGACTCGCGTGCGCCATCTTGTGGCCTCTTCCCCACAAGGGCGACCCCTGAACCCCAACCTCCCCTGGCCCACTCCAAGACCTTTGGGTAACAGCACCTGATTTTGCTTCCCAGAACTACCTCCACCTCACTCTAAGTCCATGAGCGTCTTCTGGAGCTGACTCACCCCTCCAGATCTCCAGTGGGGCCATGTGACCCTCCTGGCCCCTCAGCCAGTGTGGGCGCCCCGGACATGGGACTGGCCAACACGCCTCCCACGTGGCATCTGTGGAAATGAATTTGTGGGACAGGAGGCTCCCCACGTGCGCTGCCAAATTGTCAGGGCTCCTGGTGGCCCCCACCCTGGCCTGGGGCTTCCAGAGCCACCAGAGAAGAAAGAACTGAGGGATGAGAGAGCCCAGTTCTATTTCTTTTCATTTTTTACAATTAAAATAGTGTTTAAGGGAATTTAAAAAAACAAAAACAAAAAATCTAAGAGCCCTGTGGTGTCCTGGAAGACAAATAGCACCTTAGTGGGGAAATCTGAATCAAGTATGGCCTTCTAATTGATAGCAATTACCCATGCTAATTTATTGGTTTTGATAAATGTGCAGCTGTTAAGCAAGATGTTAACACTAGGAAAAGCCAGAGGGTGGGGACTTGGGGAGAGGCCCAGGGCTCAGGCTGTGTCCATTTACTCTCCCCGTGATGTCAGCTGGCTCACGGCCATCTCCACCCTGGCAGCTCTCCAGCCCAGAACTTAACTCTTCTTTGTTCCAGGGTCCCACCCTACCCTCCCCTTAAACTCACACGCCCAGAAACAAACTCCTGATTTTGTCCCCAAACACTTTCTTCTTCCACCGCCTTCTCTGTCTGTTCAAGGCAACTTTCTCTTCCCTGCTGCTCGGGACCAACCTGGAGTCATCTGACGAAGCCTCTCGGAGTCTCTGATGAAGCCTCTCCCAATTCCCCACCTAGCCGCATGTCCAGGGCTCTACCTGGAAGTGGGTCCCGGATGTTGCCCTTCTGTTCCCTCCCTCACCCAGCGCCACCCTCCCTTGCCCGGATATGGCAGTGGCCTCTTCCCTGGCCTCACTGCCTCCACTCCCCCCACCGCAGTCTCTTCTCAGCAGTGCCTCTCAAGCAGAGGGAGGACCTCGTTACTTCTCTGCCCAGAGCCCTCAACGGGGCCATCTCAGAGTAAAGGCCAGAGTCCTCCCCTAGCCCTGCGTGGTCTGGCGCTGTTACCTTCCTGCCTGTACGCTCAGCCCTACCTCAGGGTCTTTGCACCTGCTGCCACCCTGTAGCGCCACCCTCAGCTGATCTATTGACAAGATTCGCTCCCTCACTTCCACCCAGTTTCTGCTCGATGTCCCCTTCCTGAGGCCTTCCTTGGCCACCCAGCATAAAGTAGCCCTTCCCCACTCCCTCTGCTATTCCCTCCCTGCTTTGGTAACTCTCCATAGTACTCTCTAACATATTTTATATGCCATCACGCATCACTTGATGGCCAGGATGCCTTCTGGGGAATGCGTGTCTAGGCGGTTTCATCGCTGTGTGTCCATCCTAGCATGTAACTCACAAGCTTAGCTGGCCCAGCCCCTGCACACGCTTGTAAGGTGCAGCCCGGGGGGGGGGCACCACCTTCTTCATAGCCTGCTGTTGCCAAACACCTTGTTAAGCAACACGTGACTGATGATTTATTTACTGATTGTCTTCTGCTGTGAGAATGTCAGTTCTGCAAGGGGCAGGGTCCTCTCTGGCTCATGCTCTATCCCCACTCCGGGGTGCAGCCTGGCACGGGGCCCTCATTCAGTCTTCACTGAGGGCATCGTTGAGTCGGGAGGTCTGCCAAGCACGGTTAGGGATCTCGCTTGTCCCACTTCTTTTTAATCCCCACCATGGCGTCTTGAGTAAACCGAGCACAGGAAAGTTAAGGCTAAAGGACTAAAAGGATCTTGCCAGGAAATGGCAAGATCAGGATTCAGAGCCAGGTGACAGAGCCTTGTGAAGACTCCAGGTGTCGGCCGCTCTCTGGACTCAGGCTCCGAGCGGTCTCCCCACCTACCAGCATCCTGGACACTGCCAATGACTTGGCCTCAGACGATGCCCTCCAGCTCCCACCCCCCCCCACTCCCACAGCTGTACCCTAGATGTTTTTCCACTTGCACCCCCGGGCCCGTGTCCAGATATGCTGAAGGGTCATTTCTGGGGACAGTTTGGAGCTCCAAGTTTCTGCCCATAAATATGTTATTAGGCCCTAACGGGGCCCTAACTGCTAATTAAACCCAGCTCCTGCCCTTTGCCAACCTCTGCCTGCAAGGACAGTTAATGGATCTGACAGAAAACTAAAAATAAGTTCCAGTCGATGGGAGAGGAATTACCCAGAAACGCCAGCCTGGCAACTGCCGTGACTCAGGTAGAGCCAAGAGAAGCGAGGCCTCGGGCGGGACCAGGCCTGGGACCAGCCTCCTCACACCTGCTCTCTCTCCCCGGCACCGGTCCGCCACCAAGCCACCAAGCCGGTGGTGAGACTGTCCCTGTTTCCATTGTCTATCTGCCATATGGCTTCCCCGGGGCCTGCTTCCCCGTCCGTGCTCCTGCTTCCGCCCTTGGCCCTCAGACCCTGTCCCACTTGTGCTTGGACCCTGGCAAGGCTCTCGCTGCCCAGAGAAAGACCCCAAGCCCTTACTGCCGGACCTGCAGGAGATCTCTGTCCTGTCTCACTTCCTCTCCTCATGCTGCAACGACATCTCTACTGCTCGCTGACAGCCATTCCAAGGAACGCTGTTTCCTCTGCCTGGAATACTGCAAGCCCCACATCTTCCCCGAGTCCCCAGAACTAGCTCCTTCCTGTCTTCCAGGCCGCATGCATCTCCTCCTCAGAGAGGTCCTCACCGTCCTGACCAGCAAAGACCCCCATAATCCCTCTCTGCACCGCCCTGCACCATCACCTTGTACTGATCCTTGACTTCTGCTGCACGCCCTCCTCCACTCCAGCTAAAACATCAGCAACAGGGTCTTTGCAACAAGCGACAGAAGCAGCCGTGGAGCAGGGTCTTGGTGGAACGTCCGAACAAGGCCAAAATGCTGGTCTGCACAACTTTTTTTAAATATAATAGTTTACCTTTACATCATTTTGTACTTTCTTTTTCGTCTCAGTTGTAATCTGGTCTGCACATTTTAATGCCAGGATCTTCAAAGGCACAGAGTCGGTCCCATGTTAAAAAAAAACTAACAAGGCAGAAGGACTAAATGTACGGTTGATCACGCACTGGACCAGACCCTAAAGGGCGATACTGAGGCGACCGGCTACAGGGACATCAGGAGGAGCCTCAGGCCACGAGCCCACATCTCGGGTCTGTCCCGAGTCTGATGGCCTCACTGCGGTCAGCTAGGAGAATATTCTTGACCCGAGGAAATGCCTGCCGGTGTGATTAGGGGTAAAGAGGCATGGTGTCTGTCGCTAGTTTCACATGGCTCAATAAAATAATCACAGTCTGCACTCTGGTGATGGCGCACGGATGATTTGGTGATGGGAAGCCCACGGGGATTACAACTGAGATGGAAAAAGGCACAACATGATGGAAAAATAAACGATTATATTATCTTTAAAAAAATCACAGTAGGAGAGAGAGGGAGAAAGAGCAAGCAAAAATGGTAAATTGTGAACGTTTGAGATGCCAAGGTGAAGTGTCCCATGCGTTCACGCAGGCCTCCATATGCTTTTCTGTAGGTTGGCATTTTTTGTAAATTTAAAAATGAGCATTGCAAGGGTCATCCTGGCCATGCTGCTGCTGGCTGCTGGAAACTCCTGGGCCGGGCGATGCACGCCCACACGCACAGATGGACCCTGGCCACACGTGCACGCACACACTCAGACGCACGCCCACACGGTGCACCCGCAGGGGCCGCCGGTGCCCCGCGCCCACCTGGGTGGCCCAGAGCTGCAGCACCAGCGCCCGCGCCTGCATCTCCTCCGACACGCCCATCTCCTGCAGGTGCAGCAGGTAGCTGTCCAGCCAGCTGCTCCTGTGTGCCCGGGTGGCCAGCTTGGCTGGGGCCAGCAGCTTCCACAGGCGGCCCTTGGCCCTGCACACGCGGTCCTTATCCCCTGCAGGGACAGAGCACAGAGGCGGGGTTACAGGTGGCCCCTCCACCAGGAGACCCCAGTAGAACCATTTTATGCTGGCAGCCTGTGACCTCTCCGCCCTGAAAGCGGAGCCAGCTTTGTCTGGCTTAGTCGCCCAAGTCCCGGCACCTGACTCAGCCCCTGCTCAGTAGACACGTGTGGATTGCACCGTGCCTCTTTATGGCAGGAGGGGACTCAACACGGCTTCACTCGGGAGACCCCAGAGACAGCAGGGGTCATCAGGAGGGGCAGGCTGCTCTGGGGTGTCCATGACCTCCAGGGCAAGCCCATGAGAGAGAAGCATCAGTGAGAGCTCGTGGGGAACTCGAGCTACATGGGATGGCCGCTACGCAGCCCCACAGACACCCCCTCGGCCTGAGGAGAAGGCCGGCAGCCGGGCCAGGAGCTGAGGCCTGCGGAGGCTGAGAGTCCAGCTGTTTGTGGGGAACCTCTGGCTTTGCCAAGGTTAGCGTGTTAGTAAGAAACGTCTATCGCTGTGGAGGGGCCACAGGCATCTCTGAAGGGCAGCGGGCTCAAGGTCACTGGGTCTCAATCACCAGGACGCAGATAGCCACGTGCGTGGCCTCAGGACAGGCAGCTGGAGCTGGCTCTGTCCTTACAGACCCAGACGTGTGGCCCAAGGCCAGGAGAGATGTGGACACTTGTGGCTTATGGTGCCAACGGTCAGGCTGATGCTGTGCTTGCGTGTATAATACCTACTTACAAATGCAAGATCTGCTTTTTTTTTTAAGGATTTGTTTATTTATGCTTACAGAACTGGGGTACAGGCCAGAGGTGTGGTGGGTGAGAGGAGTCACCAGAGGCAAAGTGGGGAGCAGAACAGGCCGACTGATGAAGTACACTGCTGAGGGGAGCAGCGGGTGGGTCAGGAGAGGTCGCCATGCCATGTGGGTCAGCTCCCCGACTGGGGGTGGAACTCGTAGAGTTTCATAATGTGGTGCTTTAACCCACTGCGCCACCAGGGAGAGCCTGCAAAATTCGCTTTTTCCAGAACCACTCGGGGAAAGTGGAAGTTGCCCTGGGTGACGAATTCCAAGTACTAGAAACCACAGCATTGACTTTTGAACCACCAAGCTGTGCTTCCAAAGGATCCCCCACCCAGAGGTCTCACCCCACACACAACCAGGGTGTCTGACAGCGTGCTCAACCCAAGCTCAGCTTATTTGTCCTAAGAATATTAGTGACATTTCCAAATAACATGCCCTGTGTGCTTTCTCCTCAGTCTCCTAACAGCTTTTCGGGCGACACGCTTCTCAATGTAAAGCAGTGAGCCCCCGAAAAACATTATTTTCCTGCTGCCCAATTTTTCAGGCACTGAACAGTCCCCCCAGGATGCCCAGGTCCCCCACCTGAGCCTTGGCTGGCCAGACCTCTCAGGAGGCCCTGCCTGTGGATACCTCGAGCAGGAGTGTGGGTGCAGGGAGGGCGGAATCCATGGCAGTGAGGCGACAGCTCCCTCAAATGGGAGCTGAACCCGGACTTTGCGGTGACTGGCATTCTCTGAGGCCTGACAGCGCAACTGCAGGTCTTGGCCATTGCTGTAAGTGCAACTTTCAGGGATGACTTTATAAAGCAATGCAATGTGAAATAAACAGACAGAATGGGAGGACGGGTTTGCAAATCATATATCTGATAAGAGCCCAGTAGGCTGAATATATAAAGGAAGCCTAGAACACAGCAACAGCAAAACAACCCAATTTTAAAAAAATGTTCAAAGAACTTGAACAAACATGTCTCCATAAATGATATACAAATGGCCAATAAAAAATGGCTGCTAAATGCCAAACATTATTAATCATTAGAGAAATGCAAGTCAGATTCACAATAAGATCTCCTCCATGCCCACTAAGCGGGGTAAACAGTGAACTAACACATTATTTTTTAATTATTTTTTTAAAGATTTATTTATTTATCATACAGAACTGGGGTACAGGCCAGAGGTGCAAGGGGGTGAGAGGATTCCCCAGAGACAGAGTGGGCAGCAGAACAGGCAGATGGACGAAGCACACTGCTGAGGGGAGCAGCGGGCGGGTCAGGAGAGGTCTGCCGCGCCATGGGGTCACCTCCCGGGGCAGGCGGGGATCGAACTCATGCGGAAGTGGCTTAAGCTTCTTAGTGCTGTGCTTTAACCCACTGCGCCACCTGGGAGGGCCAGTAAATAAATCTTAAAAAAAAAAAAAAAAAGCCTGTAGGCCAACCCTGGTGGCACAACAGATTAAAGCACAGTGCTGTGAAGCTATCACAGCCATTGTGGCACGAGTTTGATTCCCCAGCCCTGGAGGTGACCCACATGGCACAGCAGACCTCGCTTGCTGCTCCCCTCAGCAGTGTACTTCGTCCATCTACCTGCTCGGCTCCCGATTCTGTCCCTGGTGACTCCTCTCAGCCCCTTTCACTCCCACACATCTGATCTGTACCACAGTTCTGCATGCATAAATAAATCAATCTTTGGGAAAAAATGGCTGAAACAAAAAGAAGTTTCATCACGGCTGTCAGGGAAAAGCCCGTAAGCCAAAGGCCCTTTTTTGTCCATTAGACTGACAAGGATTTAAAGGCTGATAACTGCATGTCGGACAAGGTTGTGGGAAAATGCAAATTAAAACAAATTACCCTCCTTTGCCCATCAGATTGGCAAACAAGTGGAAAGACCGATAACATCTGGTGGGGAGGGAGCTGCACGGGGAGCCAGAGGAACTCCTCCATGGCTTGGACAAGATGCACAGTAGGCAATAAAAATGTTAATGGGTCTGCCCTTTGATCCGACAAGCCCACTTCTAGGAAGCTGTCAAAGAAAAATAAAATCAGCAGATGATAAAAGCGATGTAAGAGCAAGGAAATACTATATTACACACACACACACACACAAGAAAACAATTACAGAAATCTATGAGAGAGGAGGGCTAACAACAGATAGCAAAGGCAAGAAAGTCAGCTGAATTTGTTCTTTTTCGTTTTTTTTTTTTTTGTTTTAATTTATCCATTCATGAACACAAAAACTGGGGTATAGGCTAGAGGCCCCGGGGTGAGAGGATTCACCAGAGGTAGAGCGGGGAGCAGAACAGGCAGATCGACAAAGGAAACTGCTGAGAGGGACAGCGGAAGACTCAGGAGAGGCCTACTGCCCATGGCCACCCCCCTGGCCTGGGGATTGAACTCATGCTGCAGTGGCTGCAGAGAGCTTCGTAGTGCTGCGCTTTAACCCATTGCGCCACCAGGGAGGGCCCAAAATTTGTTAATTTTCTACCTGTCCACTTTGCTAGATTCTTTCCACTCTGAATTCCTTTTGCCATTGATTTTCTGGGGCTTTCCAAATATAGTATAGAATTTTTGTTTTCCTTACCCAGTATTATATCAGTGACAATTTCTCTTATTTAATTGCATTGGCCAATGCCTCTAGAAAATATTTGTACTACAGGGAAGAATATGCAGACAGCTATGCGAGGTTTAAAAAACACCACATGCAAATAGGAAAGAAAGTCTTTTTTTCATAACTTTTTTCACGTACACAGACATGCTCCTGGTGCATGTTGTCATCTCTGTAGAGCAGCCCTCCGAGATGCTTGACAGGACCTGCCTACCAGAAGCAGGACACATTAGTGCGGCATTTAAGCAGTCAAATGCATTCAAGGTTTGTTTCATCATATAAATAAAAGAAAAGAGAGGATGAGCTATTCTGAGCCCTTCAAGAAACAACTCTCAGCCTGCTCGCTGGCACATAGAAAGTGTCCCACTAACAGTGTTCTTCTCGTATTTCCTCCTTTGATCCTGATGGCCACCTCTAGGAAGCTCCTGCTGTTCTTCAGTTTAGACACTCCTGCACAGCAAGGACCTGGGGCCAAAAGAAGTCTCAGGACTCAGCTAAGATCGCCGGCAGGGAGTAGCCGAGTGGGGATTCTTGTTGCAAGGGTCTGACACCAGGACACACGGCTTATCCAACAGGCAGTTCACAGTCCTTCCTGGAGATTTGACTCATATGGACCAGGGTAGGACTAGGATTTGTATACTGGGGCAGGGCCCCGTGGGGTTCTTCTCTGCAGGGAGGTTGTGGCACAGTGAACCAGGGGACAGTGCAGCCCGTGGGTACTGGTGATCCCTGCGTAACGAATCAGGCAGAAGCTATTTGCAGAGACTGAATGCCTTCTCAGGAGGGTTTTCATAAGTTGTGGTTGACATGTTCTGGAGACCAAGTTCAGTGAAAACTCATGCAGAACAAATCCTCCAGGGGTACTTCAAGGTTACATAAGCACAGGCCTGATAACTAAGAGACGTGAGGACACAGGTGGACCAAAAACAGAGGAAAAGATGTTCATGTCAGGCCCAAACTGGGGAAAGGAGAAATTGTATTATACAGTCACATATTGCTTAATGACAAGGATACGGTCTGAGAAATTTGTTGTTGGGCAAGTTCATCTTGTGACCATCATAAAAGGGAAACCCACAGACCCAGATGGTACAATGTATTGTACACCTAGCCTGTCCATTATGGACTGAAAAGTCTTTATGCAATGTATGACTATAGTCCCCTGATGAAATATTATACCGCAGTGAAAAATAACAGACCATTGCGATACAAGACAACCTGAATGAATCTCACAAATATGAAGATGAGTGAAAGAAAACAGACACAAAAGGGTACACACTATATGATTCTATTCACAGGACATTCAAGAACAAGTAAAATTAATCTAAGGTCAAAACAACCCATTCAGCAGATACCTCTAGAGGGTGGGTATTAGCTGGGAAGCAGCATGAAATATCTTTGCCTAAAAGCACACATTTAGGACTTATGTGCTTCCTTGTATACAAATTATTCCTCAGTCAGAAAAGAAAAGCCAACCCTTAAAAATAGAAAACAAAGGCCCTCCCTGGTAGCACAGCAGGTTAAAGCACAGCACTAAGAAGCTAAAGCCACTTTAGTTCTATCCCACCCCGGAGGTGACCCGCATGGCGCAGCAGACCTCTCCTGACCCGCCGGCTGCTCCCCTCAGCAGTGTGCTTTGTCAGTTGGCCTGTTCTGCCCCCCACTCTGTTTCTGGTGAATCCTCACCGCTTCTGCATCGCTAGCCTGTACCCCAGTCCTATATGCATAAATAAATAAATCTTTTAAAAATTAGAAAATAATATTTAGAAAAGCACACGACTGTGTGTGTGTGAGTGTGTGTCTTCAGAGAAGGCGCTGCCAGGACATCCTCCAACCTAACAGTAAAGGCTACCTCTGTGAAGGGGAGTGGCGAGGTGGGGGTGGAGGAAGAGTAAAGTACTCTTATCATTTCTTCTGAATATTCTGTATTGCTTGAATTTCTTACAACCAGCATGAACTACTGGCAAACAACTTTAAAAAATCTTAAAACACAAAAATGAGCACACACTTCCCAGCGCCCACCCCAGAAGTCCTGAATCCAAGACCCCACCAAGAGCCTTCGACTTGGCTCAGCCCTGTTCCCTCCACTTGCCCAGCCCCAGAGACGGGGTCTTACTGGCCCAGGGCCGGGCAGTGTCCTTCCTCCCAGGGCCCGTGGCCCTTCCCTTGAACTTGGGCCCCTTCTCCGTCCCCTCCATCTCTCCCCCCACCCACCTGTGCCCCCAGGGTGCTTACCCGCAGACAGGGAGCCACGCGCCAGCTTGGGGAGCAGCAGGTCGAGCTGGCGGAAGGTGTGGAAGACGTCGGCCGAGTGTGCGCGGTCCTGGGCCTGGCTCTGGGGAGTACGTGGCAGGGCCTCGACTCCGTAGAGGGTCAGGTAGCCAGCTCTGGGGCAGCAAACAGCAGGTCAGGGCCCCTGACCAAACCTGGCCCAACCCCATGGCAGCACCTGGCTTTGCTTCCCTCTTGCTTTTCCTATTCCGAGCCCCAGTCTGCCCTGAGTGGGGAGTCCAGCCGCGCCCGGGGGACTGACAGTAGGTGAGCGATACGAGGGCATGAGCTGGCATCAGCTGGTACCAGGAGGTACAAGAAACAGAAAGTGGAACATGGAGGGGTGAGAGGGGGTGCTCACTCGCTGTGAAGTGGAAACCAGAGGGACAGAAGTCAACACGGAGAGACCAGAGGGAGGGAGTGCAAGGCAGCAGGAGAGCCGGTGCCAGCACGTGAAGCCAGGGAGGCCGTGGGGTGATGAAGAGCAGCAAGGAGGTATGAGGCTGCACAGAGGAGGTAGCACAGAGGGAGGGGTGGGGGGCAGGAAGAGCAGTCAAGGCAGGCTCCCCGGAGGAGGCAGCATCGGGCAGAGGCCCGCTGGGTGAGATCTGGCTGCAGCCACAGCCAGAATCAGGGGCCTGACCAGGGCTGGAGCTGGCGTGCGAGGCGACAGGCCGAGCAGGTGGGGAGCTGGCAGGGCACACAGTACAGGGCAGGGCAGGACAAGGGGCAATGGCGAGAAGGTTGACCTGAGGGGCCCTCGGGATCTGAACAGGAGAGGGCAGGGAGCAAGGGCGAGACACAGGAGCCAGTGTGCTCCCTTGCTGCGACGCCCACCCACACACTCACATGTACAGGCACACACGGAATGTTCCCAAAGAATGTTTTTGCCAGCAGCCACTTTTGAAGGCTCCAGGGGCCCAGCCCCACTGGCCTCAGTCCCGGAGGGAAACCACAGGTTTTCACTTTTTCCGTGTTGGGAGAGGGACTGGGGCCTGTGCAGAGAGAGGTCACTGAAGCCCTGATCTGTTCCTGCGGAGCAAATCTCACCCTGACTGCCCCAGGAGAGGGATTTTCTCAAGAAGAAGGAGTGGGCCTGTCCAGTCTTCTTGGCATCTCCACAGTGCAAGGGCAGTGTAGAGCTGCAGTGAATGTCGGGTTGATGCATGGATGGTGGGTGAATAGATGGTGGGTGGATGGTGGATGGATGGATATGAATGGATGGAAGGATAATGATGGTGGAGGGGTGGGTGGCTGGACGGATGGGTGGAAGGACAGACAGACAGAAGGGTAGGTGGCTAGATGCACAGTCAGGAGGGTGGACAGACAGACAGATGTGTAGCCGGGAATGTGGGTGGGTAGAGGGATGAGGGATAGATGGATAACTAGAATTTACTGGATAACTTAGTCCTGAGGACGCTGAGCACCATGGTTCCCTGCTGAGCCAGGCGGGCTGATGTCCCTCCCCTGCACCCCACTCCCGGCCCGTCCCCAGATGGACTGCTTGTGACCTGCCTCTCCCTCAGGACCAGGAGGAAGCGATCCTTCCTTCAGAACTGCTGGAAGCAGCTCTCCTCACAGTCTAACCCAAAGGCCCTACTGGAGCCTCTGCCCCCCCAAAAGGAAGGCCCTGGGCCCCTCACCCCCAGAGGGAGGTCGCCGTTCCCACAGCCAGCACTGGAAGGCGCAGACCTGACTCGGCCCACTGGTTTTATCTGGTCAGTGGCGTTTTCCTAACAACATACTGAACTGACCTATCAAGTTTTGGGGAAATACATACAAAACTCGGATGCTTTTTCATCCTGAAACAACAGGGAGTTGCCTCCCAGGGATGACGTGAGCTGGCCGGGCGGCCCAGTGTCCGCGGGGCCCTGTGGTCTATGTGACATGGTCAACGTTTGTCATCCTGCTTGCACTGTTTCTTTCCTGTACACATACTTCTACCAAACATAGGCAATGAAAAACAAGCCAAAAATAAACCCAAACCCAAGAAGCTCACGAAGTCTCCAGTGGCCGTGAGGGCCCCTTGGGCGACTGCACCACACCAACATCAGGCAGAGCCGACCGAGACCCTCAGGGTGCGAGCACACTCGTGCCCTCTAGGTGGCGCCAGGGGACACGGTCACAAACACCACAGGGCTCCACCAGGAAGGGAGTGAAGCCCCGCACTAAGCCTGTCAGGAAAGGGCTCTCTGAGGATGTGTGGAAAGATGAGACTAGAGTAACGTGAAGGGGATCCTGCAGCTCCCCTCAGGAGAGAGGGGCTGCTCGGGCTCACCTGAGCAGGAGGCTGTAGGAGAAATCCAGGAGCCCCATCTCCTGCCAGCCACCGCCCGCCTCCGTGGCGTCACCCAGCAGGACAGCGCGGAGGTTGGTGTACATGGCCTCTGTCAGCGCCTGGAGGTCTCTGTGGAGCAGAGTCCTGAGCAGGAACAACGCTGGGTGAGAATGCAACTGAGGGAAGTACCCTCCCTCAGGGCTCCTCCCCCGGGAGCCTGGCTTCCATGAGGTGACAGTATACTGTCGCCGTCCACACAAGAGCTACCATTTGCTGTGCTCAGCACAATCATCTTTCAGCAACTCTGTGTCACCCTTTGACACCCATTCTGCAAGTGGAGCAGAGCAGAAAGCGACCTGCCTCTCGCCCAGGAAGTGATTTGCCCAAAGCCACGAAGCTGGGATGTGAATTTGAGTGCGTGACTGGCTGTCTGGAACCCTGGTCTTTCCTGCTAACATCAGAGCTGCCCCTTGAAAGTCAGGAGCTCTTCTTCTGCCCACTTCGTTGGGTTGTTTTTATTTCATTTTATTTTCTTTAAACAAGCTGTCCTCATCGGACACTGCGGTGGCGACAGCTCTAGTGCCTGGGGCTCGGCTACGCAGAAGAAGCCTGCCTGCCCCGGGCGTCACCTTCAGCTACTCACGGCTTCATCTTGGCCTTCTCGTCGCCAGGGCTGTAGTGTGGAAGCAGCACGTCAAAGATGCGCTCCATGAGGAAGACGGCATAGGCGTGGAAGTCCAGCTTGGTGCGCGGCTCCCACACCACAGTGTCATAGGAGTGTGGGTCCAGGAGGACCGTGACATACCTGCCCCCCACCAGCACCTGTGCGAAGTCGGTGGGGATGGAGTCAGGGGAACAGTGAAGAATGACCGCGCGCGGGGGTCCTGGGCCTCTCCCCCGCTAGGTACCGGGCCCAGCAGGCGTAGAAGGACAATGATCTCTCACCTACCCGCACGACCACCTGTGAGGTAGGGAGCAGTCTCTGTCCAGATACGCTGAACAGTGAGGCTTCACAAAGGCACATAATGTGCCCACATGGCTAAGCAGAGGCAAAGCCAGGACAGGAATTCAGGGTTTTCTGGAACCACCCTACTCTTTGACGCTTGCTGTGGTTCTCTGCGTAGTTTAAATAGTTTAGCAGCCAGGAGCCGGCCCACACAAGGGAGCACAGGTGGATGCTGGGTGTGTCTGTGATATTGTGATTCACAGGAAATGTGCATCTGTCACTTGGAAGATCAAAATATATTCCTTATATATGCTGGACTCATCCAGGATCCCATCTCCCAGCTTCCCAAAGCCATGGGATTCCATAAGTGTTGTAAGTGAGGAGGGTTTCTCTTTTGATACTAATGATATTAACTTTGGGAAAGCACTTTAGGGGGTTAGTTACCAGGGACACCAACTTGAATAAAGGGCTGGAACTTCAGTCCCATTTACTGACTGGCAGATAGAGCCGGTAGATGACTGAACCTTAGGTGGGTAGTGACAGACGTTTGGAAAAGTAGGTGCATAAGTGGAAGAACGGGGTTGGTGGAAACTGAACATATGGATGGACGTGGGACAGATGTTAGTTACGTGAGTGCAAGAACACCGGATACATTCAGGTGACAAAGGAGCACAATGATGGCCAAAGGAGGGACAGGCAGTTCAAGTTAGACTATGAGTGAGCAGGTGGAGGTTTGATGAAAACGGAGTACATGAGTGGATGGTGAGCCGACGGAGGGTGGAAGGACGCAGCCAACTGAGTTGACAGGCGGGAGAATGGGTGCTCGATGAATGGACGCACAGGCTAGATAGAGGTCGGACAGATGGACAGAGGCGCATGGACACATGAGCATTAGGTCGCTACTGAATGATGCAGCGCAAGGCGGAGAGATGCCAGTGGGATAAGGAGGGGCGGGTGTTGGCTAAGCGTCGGCTGTGTAGTGGGACAGCCAGAGGGCCGGGAGTTGATTGAAGCACCTCATGATGACAGATGGGCAGGTTCGTCTATACAGATGTTGGAGGAGCCAGTAAACACCAGGGATGACAGGCCCAGCTGCTGGAGGTACAAGAGGTACTTACGGTAAAGATGTCACCATGCTTCTCTTTCATCCTAGTGAGGAAGCTGGCAGCATCTCTTCCAAACTCCAAGGCATGGCCCAGCCAAGGGACCCGGCCCACGTCCAGGGGAGGCTCACCAGGTCGCCTGTGGAAGGCACAGCACTTAGCATAATTTTGGTTAAAGATTTATTTACTTACGCACACAGAAAACTGGGGTACAGGCCAGAGATGCTGGGGGGTGAGAGGATTCACCAGAGACAGAGTGGGGAGCAGAACAGGTGGATTGACTGAAATGCACTGCTGATGGGAGCAGTGGGCGAGACAGGAGAGGTCTGCTGCGCCCTGTGAATCACCTCCCTCCAGGCTGGGGATCGAATTCATGCTGTAGAGCTGCGGAGAGCTTCACAGTGCTGTGCTTTAACCCCTTGCACCAACAGGGAGGGCCCTTAACACCATTTGATAAAACAGGGAAGGGGATAGAGATGGGGCATGAGTGTGATTTTCAGATGGTGAGGACAGGACACGAGTCTTCCCTGAGGACACAATGGAGCAATGAGTGTGAGCAGAGAAGGAACCACTTGCATACTGGAAGAGCCTTCTAGAAAAGTGCCAAGGCCCTGGGGTTGGATCATGCCTAAGTGTCTAAAGAACAGGAAGGAGGGCTGTCATTAGGCTGGAGGGAGCAAGAATAAGCAGAGGAAGTTGGTGCTGGAGAAACAATAGGGTCAGACCTTGCAAACACGGGGTGGGAGGGGGGTGTGGGGGGGTGGTGAGCTGTGAGGACTTTACTTAGCAGTGCTCAGTGCTCACTCTTGCTGACTCTCGTGCTCTCTGCTCCCGCGCTCTCTTTCTGATTTATCTCTCTTCAATCTTTAATCATCTTGGAACTCAGGAATTTTTGCCATATGTCAATACAGCAGGCTATTATAAAATTATGCCTTGTTTATTTAAACAATTTCTACTGAAGAGGAAGTAGACTAGTTAAAAGCATCTTCCTAAGTAGAAAATGTAACATTTTGCTTAATTGCTCTAATAATAAAGTCTTCATAATTTTTTATTTAATATTTGCCTATTTTGATAATATGTACGGATAAAGTCTGATTTTAACTGGTTTCTTCCATAAAAAACAACTATAAAAGTTTCCAAAAAAGATGTGTAAAGGGAATGGAAAAAGAATAAGGAAATGAGTTTAAATATCTTAAAATTAGACATGGTTTAATACTGTCATTTATCATCAGTTGTTTCTAGAAAAATTTAAATTCCACTGTTTTTGTTTTTATTTCAGTTGGTTGCCAAGTTTTTCATGTTGCTTATAGTTGGGAAGCAGGTCGTAGATATCCCTAACTATACAGAAAAGATATGCTAAGAATGACAGTGACATGCATGATCATGTATAATTGTTGATAGAAATGGTTTAAATACTGGAATGAAAGGGATCATCTATAGGATTTTAAGGCCACCAGGAATGAACTGTTAGTGATTCTGTTATAGCTTTGCTGGTAAGTGTTGCAGTCATTAAAAAAACAAAGAAACAAAAACCTTTAAATAAAATGGTGACCTTAGGGGCCTCCCTGGTGGCCTAGGGTTAAGTCTCAGCACTATCTCTTCTGAGGCCTGAATTTGATCCCGGCCAGGGAGCTGACCCACATGGCGCAGCAGACCTCTCCTGTCTCACCCGCTGCTCCCCTCAGCAGTGGATTTCAGTAGATCTGCCTGTTCTGCTCCCCACTCTGTCTCTGGTGAATCCTTTCATGCCCTGCACTTCTGGCCTGCACCCCAGTTCTTCTATACAAAAAATGTTTAAGAAATGATTATCATAGTATTAAATATGAAGACATGTGGTCTTAAGTGGGTTCAGTTGAGCATATGATCAAAAGTACCCTCTGTCTAGCTAGGGCTAGCCAAGAATCTACAGCAGCTTTGTCTTCAATCTGAGCCGCGTCTGAACTGCAGGACTTGGGCTTCTGACCTTCTGTAAACCAGTGTCATCACACATGTTGGCCAGAGGTCTAAGAGAGGACCTTGGTCCCCTGAAAGCTGGCCGTACACTCAAACATCGGCCCTGCCCTTGACATCAAAGCCTTGCTTTCTGGTTCTCCCTCCTTCACTCTTTATTACTATTTGGGCCCTAATGAGTCAGGAGCTGGTCTGCCTTGTCCACTGCAAGTCGGTGATGGAAAGACCACCCCACTTAAAAATGTGTAAAGACTGAATGGAGTTCTCCAAGAAAGACGGCCAGCCAGATGGCCAGCGAACACAGGGAGGCCTCCTGCACTTCATCAGTCGCCGGGAGAGCAGTATGGCGGTGCCCACCCCCAGAAGATGCCAGAGCTAACCAGAAGAAAGAGAAAGCAGTGTTGGCCAGGAGAGGGGAGAACTGGGAAGCACCTACATTTCTTGTGGGGCTGTAAAAGGATGCAGCTGCTTTAGACACTAGCCTGGAGTTTCTCGAAAGGGTAAGGAGTTACCATGCGACCAGTCAGTGGACCCGAAGGATTGAAAATGCGTGTTCAGTGCCCTCCCCGGAGGCACAGAGGGTTGGTACGCAGCACTGGGAAGCTGGCCACAGACCTTCAGTGTGAGTTCAATACCCTGCCCCGGAGGTGACCCACATGGCACAGCAGACCTCTTGTGACCCGCCCGCTGCTCCCCTCAGCAGTGTACTTCATTGATCTGCCTGTTCTGCTCCCCGCTCTATCTCTGGTGAATTCTCTCTGGTCTGTAACCCAGTTCTGTATGCATAAATAAATAAAATCTTTAGAAAAAAAAAATGTATGACTTGTTCAAAGTAGTGTTATAACCAGTGTGGAATATTACATGGTCACAAAAAGGAACGAGATTCTGCTTCAGACTGTCACATGGAAGAACCTGCAGATTGTTCTGCAAAGTGAAAGAAAGGAGTCAGTCCCCAGAGATCACCTATGGTGGGATCAGGGATGACAGTTATCGGACATACACCTGGCATTTTCTAAATGTTTCCTTGCTTGGCCAGAATGGCTAAGTCCATTTTACATTGGAGGAAAATGAAGCACAGGGGGCTTTCACTTGCCTTAGGCTCACAGGTGTGGATGTGGGTTCTCACGAGGAGGGTCACGCTCTTGCAGTTACCCTGTCACCACAAGTGGACGTTTGCAGCCTCATTTTGCAGAAGTTGCAGTGAGTTGCTCAAAGGTGGAACCTGTATACTACCTACCCCCCATCTTTGCAGGGGGGTGGGGGAAGGGAAAACGAGGGCGGCCTTTCTTTGCCCTCTATGCTGGTTGCTGCCAGAACTCCAGTGAGCCAGCTTTTATCTTTCTCCAGAAAAGTCCTGAGGTGGTACAAAGGCAGGAAGCCGGCAGCCAGGCCCTGAATCCTATAGGGCGGGTGCAGGCCACATTTCAGGGTGACCCAGCAGTAGAGGCTGCTTGGGGCTGGGGTCTCTAGCCCCACCCACTGACCCTATTTTGAGGCTCTTCTAGCCCTCTGGGGCAGGGATCCCCAGCTCCTGCCCATATGCCAACGGTCACCTGCTCTTCCTGGTTCAGATATCAAGTCACCTATTCAGGTCTACCCCTGGAGGTGTAATGCCCAGAGTGGGGGGCCCCACCGGAAGTGCCCATTCCTCTTCACTGACCCCACCACTAAGCCCACCAATGCCCAGCCTCTTAAGGGAGGCTGGAGTAGGAAGTTCGGGATGGAGGTGTCACAGGACCAGAAACTGGAACTGAGAGGGGAGATGACTAACATTAAACCAGCTACAGAATTGAAAAGCCCGCAAACCTGGCTGAGGTAAGGGGCATGAACTCGTCAGTCATACAAAGGCTACAAGAAGCAGCCGTTGTCCTGGACTAGAGCTAGGGGTATGGAGATGGAGGACCATTTTAGAGAATTGCCTGTTCTTACAGATCAAACTGGTCGCACCCTAGAAGTAATTCACTTAGCAATAGGTAATAATTCCACAAAGGAAGGAACCCCTCTCCAAAAGAATGTTCTGGTACAATTTCTGTACTGGTAAAATGCAGCTCTCCTGGGACTGTGGAGGGGCCTCCCTGTGCCTTCTCCTCTTCCTAGTGAAGCTGTCCTTTTCTAATGGAGCCTGCACTGTCCTGGAAACTCGCGTGTGGCTGAAAGGGGAACGCAGCTAAAACTTTCCTCAGAGGGAACCTCACGGACCTGCTCACTGAACCCCACACCTCATCCAAAGCACACTACTTCCTCTCCCAACTGTGCGTCAGGGGAAAGTCAGGGAGGGCAGCCCCCCAACTTTATGCCCCTTAAAGTATTGCACCTGTGCTGGAAGGGGGTTCCGTGAGGGCAGGGACTTGGTACACACTTAGAGCATTGCCTGGCACACAGTAGGGGCTACATAGATGTGTCAGATGTGTGAATCACGTACACAGCAGGTGCTCAAGGAGCAGCATCCGTAGGGGTGGCCAAGAGGGTCCAGTGCACACACCTGACACGGGTCACACCCCCTGGCCGTCTCAGCTTAAGGCCTCGCAGCAGCCACACAAGCCCAGAGAGGCAGAGCCATGCCAGGTGAAGGGGCGGGAGCCCGGGACACCAGCTGCAGCGGCAACGTGAGCACAGACCAAGGCGCCCAGGGAAGCTGCTCCTAATGCCAGTCTCCAGGGCACGGAGTCAGACTGCTGCCCCAGCCCGGGCCTCCTAGCAGCTGGGGGCCCCAGAGACAGCACGCGGGGAGCCGCAGGCAGCGGGCTTCATCCCCGCCACGCTGCAGAAATCTGAATTTGCTCTGCGAATGAGATGCCATGAAGAATTCTTCTTTTACAGTCTCAAGACAGGAGCACAGAATTATGACGGCTTTGGGTGTGCACCCGAGGGATGTAGTGGGGAGCTGTTATGACATCTGCTACTTCAAAAAACAATTAACTGTCAAATCAAGGTGATAAGTCCAGGGAGGGTTCCTATAATTTTCCTATAATTAAAGTAACTTTTTTTTAATTAAAAAAGTCCAAGGTACATTTACATAGCAGGTTTACATAATTCGCTAATGTAAAACCACCTGCAGAAATCTGCACATCAACAAATATTCGGAGGGCTCTGGGCTCTGAGGTAGAGGTGGGGGACTCCAGGGGACACAGAGAAAGTGGTGGTGGGGAATTAGAAAAAAATGCCATAGGTGGGTCCTCCCTGGTGGCA